ATTTAATTTTCAAGTGTTCCTCATGTCATCAAGAAAATCCCACTATATTCCATATCTTTCCCATTTTCTGTTAAGTCTCAAGAGAACACCATCTGAGCAACTGAACAGAATGGACACTAATTGTAAGGTGGGGAATGGGGAAAGAAAGAAGCAGTAGGGACAAAAAGTTAACCTAGGAAATAAAATCAAGTATCTAAAAAGAAAAAAGGTGTTTGGATAAGTCCCCGGATCAGTCCCCTGTTCTCAATGACTACAGCACAAAGTCTTTTGAACTATTAAATTATGCTTCCTCCCTGGATTATTGATGGGTTGGCTACAGGGTAGGGAATTTACAAGGGACCTTGTATCATCAGAAATCTGTAGGGTACAAGTGCTTTTAAACAGTAAGTAGCAAAAATACAGTAGACCAAAGTGGAGAGTATGTTCAAGAGTAGAAAACATGGTGCTTAGGTGTAAGAAAAGAGAAGACAGCGACCTAGGCAATTGTTATCCTGACATCAATGTATGAAATGCTGGGGCTTTCTTTTTTTCAATTAAAAGGTAAATATCAATAAGGAGTACAATTTTAAAAAATCAGGGTAATTTCAACATAACTTTAAAAAGACATATTAGTCTGGAACAAATAAGATAACTTTCAAAAGCAAATATTAAGGCAAAAGAAATCCAGAGTCCAACCTCTCCAGATTTCACTAAAGAATTTGATATGGTATCACGTAGCAATTATTTACTGAGTTGGAAAATATAGGGTGTAACACAAAAATAAAGTGGATATAAAACCAAGTAACAGTGACATATTGAATGGACTTATTAAAAATCCTTCTTCAGACTCATTTCATGTCTGTGAACAGGGCAAAAAGTAGAGGTGTTTTGATAAAAACTGGTTGCAGGAAGCACTCCTGAGACAGATGAGGTTCTTGATAACTTACAGAAGAAATTGGGGGACCATTGAGATAAGCATATTAAAAATGGGAAAACATTTAGCAACTCTTCAAAGTCACATTATGACAAATAGCAGAATTTCTGTGATTACATGGTTTCTTATCATTTGTGTGCAACAGAAGAGAAATCACATGCCCATACCTTGTATACTGCAAGATTAAGCCAACCTGGCATACTTGTAAAACAAACTTGATCACCAATATCTGATAAAGTATTTTCAATAGACCAAATGGAGCATTAGCACTATTATTCAAGACTTTGAGGAAGCACTGCAGGTAGAAGGTATCTGACGCAGGTGAGGTACATTCAGAATTCAGGACAATCAATTTACTAGGCTCTGTATCTTCCCATTTATCGTGTTTTATTAGACAGACTAAAAGGTGCTTGCTCTGCTTGTTTGATCCTAGCACATAAAAGCTGAGGAAGGTACATGGTCAATTTATTGAGGGCTACACACCAAGTAAGGAGTTGTTTTCAAATAACAATATTGAGATATTAAAAATTAAGAATCAAATAATATATTTAGGCTGGAAGTTCAAAGAAAGTTTGAAGCATTAGGAGAGAGGTTTTGAAACATCTTTCCAGAAAGAGTAACAGGCAAAGTACTTAACTAGCTTTGAGGTAGACTGTGGTGACTTTATGACTGGGATTAGACAAGATTGTTGCCTAACTCAGAAAGGCCTTTTCTTCAGCCCTGAAATACTACAATGAAAAACTGCTCCCTACCTTTCCAGTCTTTTTGTTCCCAGTATTCCCACTAAAGTTCAACTGGGGCTATGAGAGGACTACATGCAATTTTTCACCTTTAAGAGAAAACAGTCTTAGGACTTAAACCCCTACCTCTCTAGCTTACATGTTTTTATAGAATATTGCATCAAAGCAGACGGCTAGAAACCCTCCTTCAGATTAAAAGATTTAATCAGCAACTAAACAGAGCAGTTCATTGCAAACATACTGAAATGATATTGCCTCTTTAGGTCTTCATTAAATATTTGTCCTCCTTGCCAGTTTAATGGATTCCTGCTTACTATATAAACAGACAAAAAATGAATTTGATTGTATTTTATTCATATATGCCTCAGATGCTGGTATTATCCTTTCTATATTGATGTTGCTATACAAAAATTTCACATAAGCTTCTGTTAAGACATACAGCTATCTGCGCCCTTTGTAAGATACTACTTTTATGTTAATCATTGAACAACCCATGTAAAAGTTTTCTTAGGGCAGTGTGTAATTCAAAGAGCTACGGAAAATAGAGAGGACATATTCACATGACTACAGATACAGACCAGTTACAACATAGTCATTTGCATAGCATTAAGAGAACATTAAACAATCTTACAAACAGCTAACACTCATCCATTCAGCTCCTTTCAAAGTTATGTCCATCAAGAAAGGTGCAGCACTATGGTTTCATGATACAAAAAGCATGCTCAACCTGTTGCAAATAATGTTGAAAAGGTAGGCGGGTCTGTCGTTCACTGAAGTCACCAAGCCCACAATCCATTGTATCAAACGCAATCAAGTCATTATTGTGCTCACAGTAAAGTCTGGTGAATGTAAACACATTTCCCTACATCTTTCTGGCTGACAAATGATTTTTTCATTTTAGATTAGAAAATAAGCAAAAGCTTTTCCAATAAAACTTGACTCACACTTTGGCAGCCAAACATAAATTTCACTTAAAAACATACACTGGACTCAGGCTTAAGCAATGACAGAAATTGTTCAAACCCCTAATTTTTCAGAACTTCCATGTTATCCATGTATGATCTACATAGCCAAAGCACTGGCCAGAACAATGCCAGTTACACAGAAAAAGTATTTCTATTACAGTGCTATCTCCAACCAATAAACATCCACCGCTTAATATACTTTGGCCACTTTGGGGACTGTTGTTCATGATAGCATTTCCAGTTAGAGATAGAAGAATCAGAGAAGAAAACAAATTGCTCTCCTGTTCCAAATGCAAAGATAAAGCTAATGAACTGCACCTTTATTGACTGTCATTTGACCTCTACCATCTATTTTTCTGTGCTAAACCAAACCCTTAACAACAGAATTTCTTTTAACTGGTTTGCTATAGACTAGACTGAGGCTTCCACCTTAAATGTCATAAAATGCTGTGTATGTGAGTATGATTTTGTTCAGCAATGACATGTAGTCTTGGATTTGACAAAAACACTCTTTCAGAATGTTTCTTCCCCTCTGACTAGTCTCATTTTAAAATTTCTGACTTTATTTCTAGCTTGTGCTTATTTTTGGCTCTCTTATTTTGTTGCTGTAGAACAGTGATATGAAAATTACTGCATATATGCTTGTTTTCAAAGAAGCATATTGAGTGGTAAGCCTAACTCATATGTTCATGCTTACTTCATATATTTCCGGGTTATTAGTTTATTTTACTATTATACCCTCTTTTAGCACACACAGACACACAATTCTACAATAAACTCACAACTTATGAAACTTAAAAATCACATGTGCTGTTGAACAACACAAGCTCCTTAATGCCCTCATTCTGACGACAAGACTTAATGCAATGTACAGTCTTCATCTATAGCACACATCTTTTTAATCAGAAAGAAATATTCTTACATAATCAGAACAAAAGAACTCAATAATATTTGCCACTTACAGTACTATCAAAAAGATGTTAGGTTACTAAAGCAATTAACCCCAATCTAAATTGTTCCATCTGAAATGACAAAACCTCTGTCTAGTTTTGCCAGCAACAAAACTAGTCAAATATATGAAAATTCCCTGATGCCATAAAACTAAAATATTAATAATTTCTACAATATGAAGCCATGACCTTATGAGCCTAAACCCCCTATTTCCTAATTTATGGAGAAATACCTGCCACAGGAATAAATAGCCCTAAACACAAACATCTTACTGAACAGTAGTGCTCCTCAGTTCAGCTCATTTAACAGGCAAGTGTCAAGAACTATTACAGTATTGCCTTAGAGGCAGTAAGCGAAATTCTTGGAAGTAGCTCATCATATTTTTAAAGTTTTTTTCAAAGGATGGAAATAATCAAAGCAGACATCACACAGATTTTAGTTGCTATAGCTGAGAAAGTCAGCCCTTCCAATGGAAGTTGTGGTCTCTCTAGTCCAAGTTTTCTCCATGTTGTATCTCAGAAAATATGGTTTTGTACAGACTAAAAACTGAAAGTAGAATTTAACAGCCTGGTTATTCTCTGTCTTTCCATGTGTAGCAAAAATAAGAGGACATATGTGATTCTAAAGCACCATCCTTATACTGTCAACCACTTCCAACGCTGCGTGAGATTTCAGGCTATAATGTGTAAATCATTACTACATGCTCTAACAGTACTTTCTATTTAATCAGAAGAGAAGAAAATCCTCCTCTAGAATTACAATAAATAACTACAGCTTAGTTTTAAATGAAATGATGTAGTATATATCTGACCTGAGTTTCAGTAATTTCCTAGTCGGCAATATAAATTCAGCATTTGGATACATAATCCTACAGCTCTCAGAAGCCGACTCCACCGCGAACACTTTACATGATTTATAGCTCTCCTCCAGATTCAGATGACTAGTCTCGGCGGAGCAGGTGCAACGGGGTATTTTTTCCTTCCTTCAGAGATCATTCTCCCGTACGTAAATTAAGTAGCAAGTCTTCCTCATTCTCGCGTATGCGGGGAAGATGAAGGTAATGGATTATCAGCGTTTAATTTCTCACACGGAGCGGGTGACCCGGCAGCCCGGCGGAGGGAGGGGGCTCGCTGTTGTTACCGCTGAAGCCACAACGTTTTTGACAGCGTCAGCGGCGATAAAAGTGAGCCTGGCTCCCGCACAGTTATGCCAAGAGAGCGATTTTTAAGCCACGGGCAGGATTTGGGGGGAACCTCGGGAACGCGAGGCGAGCACCCCCCACCCCCGCGCCAACACGTCTTCCCCCCCTCTCCCGGCAAGTTAAAAGTGCCCTGCCAGCGCGCCGTGCCCCCTCCACACCTCCGCAGCCGCCAGCCCTGCTCTCGTCCCTGACTGCCGGGGAAACGGGGAGCGACTCCCGACTCCCTTTACCTCCTCCGGAGCCATGGAGAGCGGTGCGGCCGCGGCCTCGGCTCCGCGCAGCTAGCGGCGGCGGCTCCGCGCCGGAGCGGAGGGGCCGGCGCACTCTCCTCACTCCCTCACCCCGCCGCGCTACGCCTCGAGCCGCTGGCACAGCCTGCTCCACATAAATGCATTAACAGCAGCCACATCATGATTAATTCATCAGTCCCAGTGACCAGGGGAGGAGGCAGGCGGCGGGGAGCGGGGGCTGGGGAGGGGCAGGGCGCACGGTAGCGTCCCTTCTGCCGGAGTTCACCCTCCCCCCCCCCCACCGGCGCAAGGCTCCGCGGGAGCGGAGGGCGGGGAGAGGGGGTTGCGCCGAGCTCCCGGCTCACCGCGGCTGCCCGTGCCCTGCCAGGTCTGAGGGAGCGGGGACTCCGCTGGGCAGGTGATCAACCCCCCTCCTCCCCGCACCCCTGGCTCGTCGGCCGGCGCAAGCCGCCCCACGCGCCTCCCCACGCGCGGGAACCGTTAGGTCTCAACGGGCGCGTCACGCGCGCCCTCAGCCCGCTGGCCGCGGGACCTCGCCCGAGACCCGGAGGGGCAGGGGTTGGGGAAGGGTGAAGTAACCGTGGGAAGTTGCAAAGGCTCCACGCCACGAAGGGGGTTTGAGTCACCGCTCAGCTGAACGCCGGGGGTTTCCCCAGTTCGGCGGGAAACAGGCTACGGTCGGGAGGCGCACCCCTCTCTCGTCTTCTCGCTGCCAGCGGCTCGGCAGGTGCTTTGGCCGTGGAGAAGGGCCCCAGAGCCCCGAGCTGCCTACTGCCAAGCACGGGGCTATGAGCCGGGCAGTGCAAGAAAGGCCACTGAGCATCCGTGTGGCCGCGGCCGCATTCGCAGAACGGCTCATTCGCACAAAAGTGCCCAACCTCCTCATGCCCACCCTGCACTCCCCGCCTTGGTAGAAACAACTGTTCGGCCGCTTGCCAGTTACTAGAGCCAGGTTTCTCCATGCATCACGCCACTGGTCTGCATGTGAGCTCGCTTTGGTCTGCTGAAGCAGCAACACCGACTCCTTCCCCAGCCCTCCCGCGCAGATCTTGGCACGGGGCTTTACTGCCCCCTCTTCTGAGGGGCAGTGCTGATTTCTTCAAATAACATTTGTTTAAACATGCGGTACACCGGCCTTGGAATTTTTTCACAGTGGGGGTAAGCAACCACTCAGATTTTAAGGGTTTCAAAACAGCTGTTAAAGGCAGGAGCCCCTTTGCATTTCTCTGCCTTTATTTTCCACTCCAAATTTAGGTACAAGTCCTGGAAGTCCACCATCCCCCTCCAATACTTACTTCCAGATGTACTTAGTCTACAACACCAACCAAGAGAGACTTGCTCTTACAGACACCTTATCTTCTTAGTCAGGGAGCTCCTTTATCAGGTGATGAAATTTGTGTAGAACATATGATTTGTCACCTATTCATTACCTCCTCACCTCATCCATAAACCCATGTTTGCCTACCTGGTAGCATCATCATGCTTCAGGGGACTGTATTTGAACAGGATATTATCAAGGTTTAACAATTCTTTATTGATTGTGTGCCAGGAGCAAAAATTTCTCCTGTCACCTCTTGTGGATTTTAGATTAGCAAAGAATTTTCAACCTGATGCAGCTATATATAGAGATTCTCAAGTATCAGATGGAATTCTTAAGCTTTACATAGGGAGATCCCCCAGATTGTCACCAGCCCTTGGCTAGTCATAGGCAATGAGGATTAAAGCTGTGTAAGGGTGAAGAAAGTAAAATTAAAAGGTAGGGTGCTTTTGTGGGAAAATTTCATTTATATGACACTTTATTGTTATTTTCCTATTCACATTATGCTGTAGACTTTGTGTTACGTGTACACATAGTAATTACCTGTAACTCCACAGCTGAGGTTACATTGTGATTTGCACTTATAGCAGGACTAAAATCTCTCAGTTTAATACTTGAATGCTTACATTTAGACTACACATTTGACACAGTAACACTTGTGAATTACAGGTGAATTTTCTTGTTTAAATAATATTTATTTGCCTTCTGCAGAGAAAAATGTAATTGCCCTCTTTTTCAAAATCTTCACATTTTCTTCACATTTGTGAATTCTGAAGGTTCTCATGTATATTGCAAGCCATTCTTACTGTCGGATACTAACACAGGTAAAGCCGATTTTGAACTTCTAAACTGAAGCATATGAAGTCATGCCATTATTTGTGACAGCCCAATTAAATTTGACATAGATTTGTCAGAGAGCTGTTTCTGATTTTCTTTTTAAAAGTGTGTGTCATGGATCAATATTATGATGAAATGAAGTTTTCTTTTAATTCCGATGTCTGTTTTTCTAATTCACTGTCTTCTGACTGCTTCTGGTTATATCTACCATATTACTTCATTGCACTTAGTACTGGTGTTCCAACATGATCACATAATAGTAGATGAAATTGTTCTATCTAGTTTTTATTGAAAAAAAAAATCAGTTTGTGAGAATCAAAAGTTTCAGATGAGTACACCAGTTTTAGCAGGAAAAAGTAAAAAACTTGAGTAAAACCTCTGAATCACCAATCCAAAACTCTTTGCTTTTCAGCAGACTACATTATCCAATATTTTCTGTAATCCAGTAGTTCATCTTAAAATCAGTTCCTTTCACTGTTCCCACTGAACAGTGCCTGAACATCACTCCTCTGATTACACATTGTCTCATTTGTTTCTTTCTCAATAATGTTCTTAAGTATTAATCTCTTCTGTTCACCATTTGATGTATCTATATACACTCATATACACTCAGATGCTCTTTTAAACTCTTTTTATAAAACAAGGTCTGCATTTCTCTGATAATGTCTACAACCTATTACAGTTTGAATTAGTCTGCCTTAAACACCGATGGACAGAGTTTTATACACGGCCTTCTACTAAACTCTTACTAGTAATGTGCATAATAGCATTAAGTCTCTCCATCTCCATTTAAATACTGATAAAGATGGGATTGGCCTTACTTTCTTTTATGACATTCTTATGTTAGTATCTTATAGCTTGTTCTGCGCTCAGTACTAACAACAATTTTTTCTCATGCTGTACAACTTTTGACTCTCAAACTACCTAATTATACCAAAAGTTTTTCTTAGGCTCTAGTGCATAATACTGAATTTTGTTATCCTATAAGATAACACCATTTCTTGTCTCCAGTATCTTGTGTGTGCTGTTGACAAGTTGGGAATCAACTGTAAATGTCACATTTTCCTTTTTTCCTAAGATTACTAGTGAAATTATTAAGAGATACTGAAATAATAAGACTGATTCTTAACAAATCTAGCAAACTCCGTGTTATGCATTGATCTCTTTTCAACATAAGCTCTTTTCCTTTTACAGGTCCTTACCTGTGTCACAATTTTTGTACTAGTTTTCATCTCTTCCATTTAAGTAGTTGCCCATATACAGACAGCTGCTTCCAGGTGGCTAGCATTAAGCTCTGGAAAAAGCAAAGGTGTTAAATGAGATGGTGGATGAGGTGTCATATGTTTGTTACAGAGGGATAAAGGTACAGTGTAATTAAAAGGATAGAGGAAAAAGACGTGTGTTGTGAGCCTGGTGAAAGTCCAGTCTATCTGCAGTGCTAGATTTCCTACTTACAAATGGCCTAGGACTATGACTCAAAGAAAAATCACCATGGCTAGAGAGGAGGGAGAAAGGACCTATTTTCAATGCTTTTCACTTGTTTCTTCTGTTTTTGGAATTTCTCCAGATTTCTTATCAAAGAACTCAATTGCATGGGCAATTTTATTCATGAGTCATCTCAGTGACTTTTGCAGAGCTATGTACCTATAAAAGTATTCAAAATTTCAAAGCCTGGACTTCTTATATTGTTTTTATTTATTGAAGTACAACTTTATGTTTCTACTAAATGATTAACATCATTGCTGATGCCTTATTGGTATTAAAAGATGGACAGGTTTATTGCATATGGATGTATAGTTTCACTACTGTAACATCTGAATCTATATGTACACATTCACTGGAAATATTTCAAGTAACGTATGTTCATATTGTGGATCACTACAGGTTTCAGTGCTGTCACATCTAGACATTTAATCTTGGTGCATGTCTATCAAAGACTTTGGATGAAATCCTGATCACACAAAAATCAAGGAAATTCTGCTAGTTTCTTTGTCAGGGCTAGGATTTCATTCACTGTATTTTCTCTGAGGGTTCACTGTATTTGACATGAAATTCCTTATTACAGTAGCTTATATAAAATGTAGAAGTTTTCTAGATTTTTTTTATTAGAAAATTAATTCTATTGAAGGAAGACTATTTTATGATAGGATCAATCCTGATTTAGTAAAACTAGAAGCTAGTAGTACGGCTATGTGTTGGTTCAAAGCTTAATACTTAAAGTTTATTCACAATTATTCATCCACTAAGGTTCATGAAGTTGGTCTGATTTATGACTAATTATGGCCACTACACAGAAACTGTACTTTTAGTTGAATAAGGATTGAGTATTTGTTTCAGTCTGAAGCACAGATTAAAACTCAAGGCATAAAGGGTGTCTTTCGCCTTGATTTTCAATTATTTTTTAAGTGAATTAAACATCTGACAAATAATGGGACACATCTACTTTTCTGTGCTTAAATCACCAGAGTTCATTAAGAACGAATTTGACTCAACATTTCCTCATTCTCCAAGGACCTTTTCTTCACAGCCTTATAACAAAGTGAGATTACCTAGACAAATGTGGATTTCAATCTGCATAAAACTTACAGGAACTTTATCATATGAAATCTCAGGGCTTGACATAGGCAGGCTCTGGTACCGCCTTTGAAATACTCCAGAGAAGTGCATCTTCTCTCATGTTTATTTAGTAATTGAGTATTGCAATTCCTGACATCTTTATTATTATTAAATTACTTTTGCTCACTGAAGTCCTAAAGATTGTTAGAAATCCTATTAACAGCAAGGCAATAGACACAAATTACTGAGAGGACATCAGTGGTGTTGAAAGATGATAATTTTCCAAAAATGGGGAAATTCTGTCAGTCCTGAAAGCCTACTGAGGGAATTCCAAACAAGCATAGATAATTTTTGAAGATAAAGCATTTCGCCATATGGTCTATTTCTGATTTTTAAAATTGCCTTTGATTTTAAATATTTTAAATAAATATATAAATGCATATGTCCATTGCACTGCTTTAAATTGTGTCACCAAAGGCAGTGACCTGAAGAAAAGAGAGAAAATAGGAA